AATTTCAGAATGAACCTGCATTGGAGCTAAGAAGATGAAGGGACTAAGATGGGACAGTGAAGAGCATGGGGAGGGTATTCCTCAAAGCAAGGTCTGGGGACCCCTAAGGGGTCCTGTAGACACTTTCTGGGGTCCGTGCTTTTATGAGAACACAAAGCCATGATTTGCCTTTGTAACCATCATTAGGTCAATTTTTCACAGGCTACAAGGCACAGGATATCAAAACAGACTGAATGCATGAGCAGACTCAAGGAGCCAACTAGCTTCTATTAAGCCAGACATTAAAGAAATTTGCAAAAACATGGTGCAATGCCATATTTCTCAGTGAATTTTTGTGACTAGTTATTTCTCGTAAAAACATGCTACTTACATTAACATATATTGGGTAGTGTTACTATTAAATGAATTAATGAATATTTTAAAAATTTCACTTTTAATTTCTAGTAAGAAGCGTTATCAGCTAAAACTGACCTAAATAAAAGCTCTTCGGGATTCTAATTTTTAAGAGCATAAAGGGGTGCTGATGCTCCTTTGGTTTGAAAACTGCTAAAGGAGAATGGGTGTTAGGCATGATTTGCAAGCAGATGTACATACTTTGTGGAGGGGTCTTTCTAGAGCAGTGGTCTCACTGGAGGCCATTTTGCTCTGCAGGAGATATCTGGCAATGTCTGCAGACATTTTTGGTTGTCAGAACTGGAGGGGGTGTGGAGCCACTGGCATCTAGTGGGGAGGGCCAGGTGCACAGACCACAGGGCAGCACCGTGGAGAAGCATCTGGTCCACCCGTCAACGGCCCTGAAGGTGGGGTGCCTGCTCAGGGCAGCGGGTCTCACTTGGGAGGCACTCAGGGTCTGCCAAGCGCCCAGCTAGTCACACGGTCACACGGAGGAGGAGCGAGCGCTGGGAAGGGACGGGAAGCTCACAGAACCTGCTCCTAACTCACATGTCCTCCAACTCACAGCTGATTATCGCCTCCGCAGAGCCTCCGTCCTTCCTGAACACCAGGGCTTTAAGCAAAGACGATGCAGAGTGGCTGGGAAAGTGGGCCAAGACATGGTGATCAAAAGCAGGGAATTCGCCCCTATGTGATAGTCACTTATGAATTTCGAAAAAAAAAATTTAAAGTACTGGTCCTCTGGGTCCCGAGTTTCACTGGAGTCCAGTTTAGGGTTGTGTGCAAAAAAAGTGGGGAGTGGCAGGGGAGACCCCCAGGGGTAGCTCGAGCTCAGAATTCAGCCTGCAAGACAGTGGCTTTGGTGTTTTGGGGGAGGGGAGCTGGGGACTCTCATCTCAGGAGGTGATAATCACAGCCGCCTCCCCAGGAAACACACCTACCAACAAACCACTTCCACTGTCCTCCAACACTCAGGTTAAAATTCCTGCTACACAGCCGAGTGACTAGAATGTCGAATTTTCTTAAAAAGATACTTTTCACAAAAATGCTATTTCTGTTACCATGTAACGGGTTATTTTTAAATGAACTAACATTTTTGAAATTTCAGGTTTAATTTCTCAAACATGACTCCACCAGCTACACCTGTGGGACCTCAGCAAGCCTGGCTCCCTGTCTCTGCAACACCAAGGCGGGCTGGAGGGGATGTAAAGGGACAGATTATAGAGAGAAAAATGTTATGACTAAAGGCAAAGGCGTCAAAATAAGCTAACAAGTTGGAGAGGACCTTTCAGCTTTCTTTTCAGCAACAGATATTATGTCAGAGTTGCCGTAGAGATTTCAAACAAAACTAAGCTGAAGCAGGGTATGTAACATACGTGACCAGAGAACAGCGCTCAAAACAACCTTTAATGTGCTTAAAACAAATCACTTTACAGAGAGCATTAACACTTTTAAAAACATAACTTTGGACACAATATACATATTAAAACAGCTCCTATAAAAAAACACCATGGCATGGTCTCATCTTCCAAAATGGACTTTAGCAATCTCTGAGCAATTGATGAAGATTCTAAATATTCATCAAGTGGGCCTAGTTATGTTTGCACAGCTTTGAAGGTGACACTGAGGACAGCTGCTGACACTGGAGTTCCCTCTGTCAGTCTCCCGAGTACCCAGGAGCCCACCTGCGGCCTCGCTCCTTAAAAGTGTGCCACGAAATAAACCCGTAAGTACTGGGCAGAAACTTTTGTTTCCAGGACACATGTGGGTAAGTCAAATGTAAACTTCCTACTTGAAAGAGAATAAAACAAACAAAAAAATGTACCAATACACATCATTCAAGGAGCAGAAATTTCTAGAAAAATGTGCACAGCAGCAGTTATGACCTTTAATGGTATTTGGTTACATTGGAAGATATATTCTGCCGTACATCTCGCAGGGAAAACTTCTTTCAAGAGGGATCATGCCTAATCTATCACACAGAGTTAAAAATGGTCAAATCTGAAACTCCCCATGTTTTTAGAGGTGAGGAAACAGGGCCCTGGAAGTTAGGTGACATCACTTAGGGCACTCAGGAGTCAGAATCTCTACTATCTACTCCCCAGGTTAAAATACTTTCCTTTCTACGGCTCTCTCCTTTACTGCAGGACTTCATCTTCCTTACTAAAAACCCCGCGCCGTCAAATGTTCCTTTGTTTTAACCAAAAACTGTTCTGCGATATAAGCCACTGCTCCTTTGTTTTCCATGAGGCTAGTTTATAGACAGCCAGGATTTTAGTATAAGGACCTTTTCCGGTGTTGAAGTGGTGTGTAAAATCAACCAACCACAGGCCAAGTTCTTTTTACGTGTTCTCTGTTGAGATGATTTCCCAAGCCTGGCCACTCTGCCCTGGACAAACACCTGTTCTCATGCCCCTCGGGCTGGGAAGTCCCGGAGGGGGGTAGCTGCCCCAACACAGGTGAGTTCACAGGCTGACCCCAGCGAGAGCCGGCTGTGAAGGTGACATGACATTGAACAGGTCTGAAAAGCAGCACGGGCATAGCAGTCCTATTTCAACGGTTCAGGTTAGAAATATTCAAGTTCAGAGGAACGTTGACAGGAGAGGAAAAGAGTGCACAATGAGGGTTTCGTGCACCTGGGCGGGTCAACCGTATTTGGTAACTGGTTGGAACCAGAGGTGAAGCAGCAAGATGAAGACTGAGGAGGGAACCGACAATGAACAAAGTGAGGCTCAACCCAAAGTTCAGATGAACTGAAGTGCCTCAATTTGTACTCCTGCAAAATAATTTACACAGTGATCTGCCAACTGTCATGCTTAATATGCCATGTTGCCTCTGGTATCCTTATGAGGAAGTAGTGAAGGGCCCACCATTTCAGTATTTTTCGGTGGTAATTTCAAGCTCTGTAGCTCCAGCTCTTAGACAGTAGCACTAGAAAAAATACAAAAAGACACGTGGGGCATCACACGCAGGCACTCCAGGCCCCACCTCAAGAGTCTTAAGCAACTGACAGTCTAGGAACCCAAACCACCTTAAAAACACGCACTTTACATACTTGCGGCTTTGTTATGTTTAAGTTAACGGATGGACACTGCAGGTTCAAACTTAACATTATCCATCCTTATAGTCAGGTTCTTTCTGCTAAAACGGGAATAAATGAACCATACACATGGATATTCTTTGTCACACTAACGGTAAGAGGAGACAGGTGTGTGAGCAAGAAAGGTTTGGGGGAGCACTGGAAGCCTTAGCGGTTTTAACGAAACATCAGTAAACAAAAGGAAAGAAAATGCATACACCCTTGCAGAGTGACTAAATTTCATTTAAATCAATTTAGTCAAGAAAATGACAGAGAAGGAAGCAAGTCAAAAGCAAGAATACCACAGTAAAACGTGATTATCCGCTACAAAAACAGGGCAGAGGAAGACTGGTACCAATAACCCCCAACTACTGATATTTAAGGAGCCTTTTGGATATCTGCTTTTTGCTTTGGGGAGGGCAACATATTTGCTGGAACAAACCACCTGCTGAAGAGGAAGGAGGCTTAGAATGCACCAAATGATAAGGAAAAGGTTACCCCCCATGGCTAAAAAAAAGGCTACTGCCTATAATCACCAGTTAACTGTGTTTCCCCTGACAACACTGACTTCATTCTAATTTGACTTACAGGAAGGGGTCTGACACTTGCAAATTAACGTTTATTTGTGATAAGACTGGGGACCTGGACGATCCAGCTCTGGAGAACGGGATGCTACAGTCAAGTTGCTTCTCGGCTACCCAGGATCCAAAAGGGCCTACTATTAGCTCAGCCTGGGTCCAGACAGCTCCTGAATCCTTAGCCTGCGGGGCTCTAGTTCAACCACTCACAAGGAAGAAAAGGCAAAGGCAAAGTGCTGGCAACTGCAAACACCCTCAAAGCACAACTGTGCCAAGGAATGCCATCAACCCCACCAGGTAGACCCCGTCCTCACGGAGCCTTCCGGCTGTTCTCCAAGAGCCCAAAGCTGAGAAGCAAAAGTCGTCAGAACTGGCCATCGCAGAGAGAAAAAACAAGTGAACGATGATATAAGACTGTATAAAAATACCCAAACTAGCTAAACTGAGAGGTACCAACACCCCTGGGGAAAGAGGCTGTGGGAATCAGACATCAGCAAAGGAGCTAGTGTGAGACCCAAGCAGCAAAGGGGGCACCAGGCAAGTAGAGGTGATAGAAGGAGGGGCCGCTGAGAGGGAGGCACCTGACCTGGCCGCTGGCTTGCCAAGGAAGGAAGGGGAGGGTCTGAAAGCTAAAAGGAGCATGAACAACTGTGGTGAAACCAGTCTCTGCAGGAGGGTGGCTAGATCTGAGGTGGGGGGGGGGTTATGAACTTAAAATTACCAGCTGCACAGACACAACTTCCATAAACACATCTGTATTTTCCCAGACTGAAATAATAAAAACCTACAGAACTAAAATTTCAGGTTGTGAAGGAGACTCGGAGAAATTCTCACGCCGGGAAACATTCTAGAAGAGCCTGGTTTTCACCACGCCGTTTTTCTGCCCTTAGTTAAAAGGTGTTCATGAAAAAAAAAAAAAAAACGGAAAGGGAATATTTGAGAGCAGTTACCTCTGATTCTATTATGTCTTGTCCTTCTTTTGAACCTTTTCCACTTTTCCCTGCTTTTGGTGATTCCTGGGAAACATCAAGCAAATCAGTTAGGCTTCTCAATTTTTAGACTACTAAACACCAGATAAACCAAAATGCAGTTTTAAAACGGATTTACACAATTTAACTAGAACTTCTGATAATTTTAATCAGTAACATCCAGAAATTCTGCCTCACGTTATTTAGAGATACAAAACTGCGAGGCGACACCCCTACCCCCAAATTCAGATCCTCTTTGTTTTCTTGATCTGTATTTAGCGTTGAAAACTTCAAGAAGAAACGGATAAACCCACATTTACGGTACTCTCGGCGTTTTGATGGATCCACATAGCATCCCTTTCTGGTCTCCCACCGTAAATCCCGCGAGCCGGGATTTCTGGGGTGATTCTGAGATGCTACGGAGCTCCACCTGGAGCAGAAACCTACCGCCCCCCCCCCCCCCCAATGCAACGCAGCACACTCACAGCCATCACCGCCGCCACCCAGGATAATAATAGTATTTCAGAGCCCCAGAGCGTCCCCCAGGAAAGCTGACAATTCTTCACCAGCGTGAAGCGGGGTCCATTCGCTCCCCTTCCCCCGGCCGGGGTCCCTCCAGGTGCCTGCAGCCCCCCACCCCTCAAGCCCGTGCCCAGGCTTCGGCGAGGCTAAGTCAACTACCTCCGCGACCGCACCTGCCCCCTCACGCCCACCGCGCGCGCTGCCCTGGGGCGGGCGCCCACGCCGCCCCCACCGCGGCCGCGCCCCCGCACGCCGGCCCGGGCCGTCCGGACCCCAGCCCGGCCTGGGCCCCGGCGCCCCCGGCCGGCGCTCCTGCGCCCTCGGGATCCCGGAGCCCGCCGCACCCCGCTCCCGAGCAGTTCCCCGCCCGCCCTCCGCGCGGCCCCTGCCCCTTCCCCTCCCCGCCCCGACCCGTCCCGCGGCCCGGGCCCGGACTCACTTTCTCCTTCTTGTTTTTATTCGGCATGGCTGGTGCGGACCGCCACCGCCTGCCCCCCGCAGCAGCAGCAGCGCCCCCGCCCCGGCCGTCGCGACCCCCGGCCGCCGCCGCCGCCGCCGCCGCCGCCGTCGTCGCTGCCGCCCGGGGACTGAGTCGCTCGCTCGCTCGCACTTCCCCTTTTCCAGGCTCCCACAGGCTGCGGCAGCCGCGGCGCCCGCGGCGGCGGCGGCGGCGGCGGCGGCGGCGGCGGC